GTATTTACCATTTGGTTATGTCCGTTTTTTGTCTATCTGGTACCTAGTTGTGAAATGTAATGTACCTGATATCTCGGACTCGATCACCGAAATGGGTTTCCGAGGGCGGTTCCCTACATGGGTGTGGCCCTGTCGGCCGCAATGGGCCCGGGTTGCCGTCTACCGGCGATCGGTGCGTGGTGGAGTCCCCCCGGTCTCCACCACTCGCCTGCCCCTTGAACCTTGACGTGTCTGCTGCCGCGCCCGGTGTTGGCTGCAGTGCAGGTTCCAGATGCGGCGACTGGACTGGATGCATGCTACCGAAATTGCCCGGTCCAGCCGCTTCGCATCGCGCTTGAGGAGGCCAAGGTGTTCAGTGAACACCTTGTGATTGCCTCCAGCGACCGCGCCCAGCGACCCGTACACGAGAGCCGAGAGGTGCACCCTCCATCCTTGGCGCTCGAGGTGTCGCTTGACGCGGCCGTATTTCTCGCGCTTGTGAGCGGCGATGCGGACCAGCGGCGAGCTGTCCGGATCATCGCTCGCCTGCTCCTCAAACGCCACGGCCAAGTCGACCACCGCCACCGTCCTCTTGGTGTGGTTATACAGCTGAAGGTCGGGCCGTAGCGCGGGGCCGGCGAGCGACGGCACGGTCTGGTTCGTGCGAAGCTCGACCCGGTCCTTGCTGTCGCTGGACGCCGCGATGAGCGAGCGCTCGATGGTCTTGAGCACGTCGTCGTGGCGTCCACGGACCGCGTCCATTGTGCCTGAGCAGTGGTTCAGCACATGCGCCAGCGTCTCTGAGCGCGCGCACCCTGGGTGCCTGCACTTGTCGTGCGCTCGGAGACGCCGGCGCTTGAGGACACTGTGCGTGTCCAACTGGTTGAGTCGCCCCGCTACCGCAAAGCGGTAGTCGGACTCCCAAAGGCCTCGAGGCCGCGTGAGGAAGCCGCTTCCAGCACCTCCGTGGGTGCGAGCGGTCTTCCCTTGGTCCTTCATCGCGGCCCACTTGGTCCAGTGTCTGTGCTTGATGTGAAGCTTGACGTGCCGTAACACGGTGCCGTGGTCTAGCCACTGCTCGTGATGCGGCACGCGAAGCTGTAGCGTGGCAGCCGCAGCGCCAGTCTCCACGCACGCCGGCGCTGTCTCGAGCTTGAGTCCGAGCGTGCGGAGATGGCGCTGGATGTCCACCCACAGTGAACCAATGTCGCCGTTGCGGCGCTTCGGTGGTGCGTCGGGCGACGCGCCCAGCTGAGAGTTGTCCAATGTCGCCGTTGCGGCGCTTCGGTGGTGCGTCGGGCGACGCGCCCAGCTGAGAGTTGAGAAGCTTCTCACACAGCTCGTCCTCGCGGTCTGCCCACGCCTGAGTGTCGACGCGGTGCCGCGCGTCGGCGATCTGCCGGAGCTGTACGCGCGCGATGCGCCGGATGGCAGGGTCCTTGGAGTGCAGCATCTGCCACCCATGAGCCACTTGGATCGCCGCGTGCAGCTCCGTCAGCGGCAGCAGCCCCAGACCACCGCGCGACACAGGTGCGTAGAGGAACTCAGTGGTGGCCGACACCGGCAGGCGAAGCAGGTGTCGGAGGCCGCGTACCAGATGCCGGTCGAAGCCTTCCAGTTGCTGCTGGAAGGGGCGAAGGTGTCGGAGCGCGTACTCCACCCGAGGGTAGAGGTACGTCTTCGTCGCCTTCACCACCTGCCACGGGGCGAGGCCGGACTGGAGGAGTGCCGTCGCGTCATCCTTGAGCTGCTTGAGCGCCGGTGCGAGCTCGACGCGGCGGCGGACGTGATCGAACCCGTCCCCAATCCCCAGGTAGGAGTACGAGTCGGCCATACCGAGCGCTGGGATTGGGTCGCCGTCTAGCTCCAGCCCGAGGTCGCACGTCTTCAAAACGCCGCGGTGGTCCCGCTGGACTGACATGGTGCAGCACTTGCTTGGGTTAGCTGCCATGCCGGTCCAGCGAAGGAAGTCCACCACAAGAGCGTGCTGCCGCTTGATGCCGTCCTCGGTGCTGCTGAAGGTCTTGAGGTCGTCGGCGTACGCCGAAGCACCGAGGCGGTCGTCAGTGGACAGCTGCACGCCCGTGTCCGGCAGTCGCTGCAGCGCGAAGAGCAGTGGGCTGATGGCAGCGTTGAAGAGCTGCGGGCTGAGTGGGCAGCCTTGGAACACTCCGACGCGCAGGTGAACCGGGTCTGTAGTTCCATCCTCGGCATTCCCGACGACGAACGCCGCGCTCTCGTAGAGCCCCTTGCACATGGCGACGTAGTCGTCTGGAACGCCGAGTCGCGCGAGAGAGTCCCAAAGGAGTGCGAACGGCACGCTGCCGAACGCGTTGCGGAAGTCATACCAGACTTCGAAGAGAGTGCGGCGCTTGCGGCGGGCTTGGTCGACAAGCGTGGCCGCGAGGAAGTTGTGCTCCCCACAGCCATTGACCGCACGGAAGCCCTTCTGTCCTGGTGCGTGGCGGTCGTTGGCGTCCAGCCATCGTCCCAGTCGTCGTGCGAGGACGCCACTGTAGAGCTTGTATACCGCTTGTTGGAGGCAGATGGGTCGCCAGTTTGCCGGGTCCGTGCGTTCTCCCTTCTTGTAGAGCAGCCGCACGACTCCGAGCTTCCAGCTCAGCGGCACCTTCTTGGCCTCCCAGCAGCGCTTGAACGCGGCTCCCAGCGCTGGTAGCAGTTGCACGGCGAATTTCTGGTATACGTCGTACCCCACGCCATCGAGGCCAGGGCTGGAGGCGCCACGGACGTGTTGGAGCTGGGTCTCAATGTCGTCCAGCGTCGGTGCCTCCGTAAGCAGCTCCCGAAACCTGGTTGGAGCTGGGTCTCAATGTCGTCCAGCGTCGGTGCCTCCGTAAGCAGCTCCCGAAACCTGGACGCGGTCGGAAGGCGGGCCATGGCTGAGCGGAAGGTGGCGCCCGTCGCTGCGTCCGGGACAAATTCCTGCAGTGGTGTGTTGACGCCGTCGAAGAACCGCCAGAGCTCGGCGCTTGGGATGGGGCACAGGCCATCGTCTGTAGCAGTAGCCGCCGGGGGTGGCGCTGTGCCATTGCAGGAAGCTGTCGTGTGCGCAGACGCACGCTGCGCGCGCGCCGCGGCCAGAATTTCCTCGACGCAGGTCTTCTCTTCCTTGTCGAAGCGGCTGCGTAGCAGTTGCTGGGTGATGGCCGAATTGACGCGGCCGACACGACGACGGGCCCGACGAATAGCGGTGCGATCGCTGGGCGAGGCCCTCTCTACCGTGTGGAGATCGTCCAGGGCCTCGTCGAGGCGATGTTCTCGGTGGTGTCGGGTCACACGGGGTGGTCGACG